GTGGCAGCTTAACCCACTGTGCCACAATGCTGGCTGCAGGCTCCTTTTTTTTTTTTTTTTTTAAAGATTTATTTATTTGAAAGGCAGAATTATATAAAGAGAGAGACTTAGAGATCTTCTTTCCTCTGGTAAATTCATCAAATGGCCACAATGGCTGGGACTGGACTGGGCTGTAGCCAGGAGCTTCTTCCAGGTCTTCCTCTTTAGGGTGGCAGGGACCCAAACAATTGTGCCATTTTCACTTCTTTCCCAGGCACAGTAGCAGGGAGCTGGATCCAAAGTGGAGGACTTGAACTGGTGCTGTATATGATTTTGACATCACAGGCAGCAGCTTAACCTACTGGACCACAATGCTGGCCGCCCAATCTCCTATTTTTAATATACAAGATACTGCATTTTACAAATGCAGAAACTTACCAGCTGTTTATTGGTCCTTATTTGTGCCTACTGGTTTTCTTCTTCTTCTTCTTCTTCTTCTTCTTCTTCTTTTTTTTTTTTTTTTTAATATTTATTTATCTGAGAGGGAGAGTTACAGAGAGAGGGAGAGACAGGTCTTCATCTGCTGGTTCATTCCCACAACAGCTGGAGCTAGGCAGATACAAAGTCACGAACCAGGAGCTTCTTCTGGGTCTCCCACGTGGATGCAGGGGCCCAAGCCTTTGGGCCGTCTTCCACTACTTTCCCAGGCCACCAGCAGAGAGCTGGATTGGAAGTAGAGCAGCCAGGACTTGAACTGGTACCCATATTGGATGCTGGCGCCACAAAGGCTTAATCCACTATACCACAGCGCTGGCCCTGTGCTCAGTAGTTCTTACTAATGCTCCTAGGGAATAATCTTTCGCACTATCTTCCCAGGTAGATATCTCAGGTTTTTTGTTCTTGTTTTCCCCATTGCAGTTCTTTATTTTTATGCTTGGGACAAATGATTTTGTATTCTTAGAATGGGCATGGGCAGAATTGGGCAGCTGAAGTGGGTACTCAAAAAAAGATGCATTCTTCACAACAGCCTTTGAGTAATTACTCTGGCGACTGCTCCCCTTCCCTGGCACCTCCATGTGTGGTGCCTCTGAGATTCTGCAAGGCAGAATGGCTGTCAGCTCTTGCAGATTTCTGTTCCAACTTACTTGTCAATACATCCATGCCTACTTTCTGAATTGGTTGTACTCCTTTGTCTACTAGACTATGCCTTCTACCCTGATCAGATGGTAGATAGATTCCTATCCATAGATTTTTGCTCTTTCAGGGAGTTTTAGAGAATGGCAGGAGGTCAATGCTCATGAGCCCTCTGCCCTCAACCAAAAGAGTACAAGTGGTCTGTAGATGATGGAAAAAGTGTTAAATATGTTATAAGATCTCTTTCTCTCTTTGCCTTTCAAATAAAATGAAAAATTTTAAAATAATTTTAAAAAATAGTGTGTTTTTAGAAGTTAGTGTATTTTTTTCCTTTTCAAAAAATCTTCGGGTCTGGCACTGTTGCATAATGGGTAAAGAAGCTGCCTACGGTGCCAGTGTCTCATATGGGTGATGATTCGAGTCCTGGCTGCTCCACTTCCGATCCAGCTCTCTACTATGGTCTGTGAAAGCAGTAGAAGATGGCCCAAGTCCTTGGGTCCCTGCGCCCACATGGGAGACCCAGAAGAAGTTCCTGGCTCCTGGCTTTGGTTCAGCACAGCTCCAGCCATTTTGGCCATCTGGGGAGTGAACCAGCAGATGGAACACTTCTCTGTCTTTTCCTCTCTCTGTCTGTGACTCTGCTTCTTAAATAAATAAATAAATCTTTAAAAAAATCTTCAAGCAAGATTTTACTACGTGTAATATGAGGCAGAATATAATGGTGGGGCCAGCACTGTGGCATAGCGGGAAAGTCACCACCTGCAGTGCTGGCATCCCATTTGTGTGCTAGTTCAAGTCTTGGCTGCTGCACTTCTGATCCAGTTCTCTGTGATGGCCCAAGTCCTTGGGCCCCTACACCCATGTGGGAGACCTGGAAGAAGCTCCTGGCTCCTGGCTTAGGATCAGTCCAGCTCTGGCCATTGCTGCCATTTGGGGAGTGAACCAGCAGATAGAAGATCTCTCTCTCTCTCTGCTTCTCTGTAACTCTGCCTTTCAAATAAATAAATCTCTTAAGAAAAAAAGAATAAAATGTTGATATGTTTTTCAAAGAGTACACACAAATCTACAGTTCAAATGAATCTTACACTTTGGAGTATTTCTTTTTCTCTATTAGGTTTGTGCTAGTGGACCAATTTGCAAAGCTAAGTTCTAAATGAACTGCCCAGGTGATCTCCATTCTACACATTCTGTACAATTACTGGTATATTGTGTGACAACAAACTCTCTTTATAATCTTTCATTTTAATTTTCATACTTCCAGCAGTACTCCTCTTGATCTGCTCTCTGGAACCACATTTTATACTTAATCTAAGATACTAAGACTAGAGTTACATAGTATCAAAGGATAGAATTTAAGGTCCTGGTCGGAGATCGCCTTATTGAACCTGAGGAGTTCAGACTAGGTTGTGCATCCATCACTTGATACTAGAGCCTGGGTTTAGACTGCATTTTCTCTGCTAATGTCACTTGGGCTTGTTAGACTCTAAAGTCAAGAAGATGGCCATGCAATTTAAATCAGTCTTTATCTTCATTTGAAAGGGACCAACCTTTGTCAAATAAGAGGGGCTACATTTTGGTGATAATGTGGGCTTTGTATTAGGACAAATTATGATGTAAGGAAAGCTTAGTACATTTTAGTTGAATTAAAGAATCAGGACCTCAGTAATTCTCTTTATCATCTTAAGCAATCAGTTTTCCTGTGAATATCTTCTTCTGGTTCATTCACTGATACACAGATTATTTCCCTAAATGATCAAGGAAGATTGGAATCTGGAGTGACTGTTCCAGAGCTTTGTGCTTAGTCCACGAGGTCAGTTTCTCCCTGTTCCCAGATGTGGTGGAGATGATCTCATGGAATTAATGAAGCACCAGGTAAATGTTAAACCACAAGAGGAACAAAGTGTGAAGGCTCCTGGGTAAAACAGGAGCACTTGGTGATCTTCTGTCTTCATTAGCATTCAGTACAAAGACATAGAGGAATGTGTTTAACATCTTCTGATAGCAAACATCTTCAAGGCAGGAATCTGATTTACTCAAGTTCATGGTTTTGGTTATTTGGCATTTTGATACAGTACTATTATGTAATACTCCATATTCTATATGGTCCATATTCCATTTTCACCTTTTACCCAATAATGTCGTTTATAACAACCTTTTCCTAATCAAGGATCATGTGTGTAGTCTCCTGTTTCTTTAGTCTCCTTTGCTCTGGAACAGTCAGTCCCCTGTCTTCATAATACTGGTAGTTGTTAGGAAACTGGCACAGTTCTAGCCAGGTGGCTGCATGGCCCAGCTACCTGAGCCAGGCTCCACCCCCATCTTAATGGGATTCACTGCTCCTGCTTCCCTGCCCGCCCTCAGGCAAAGTTTTAAAAGGGCCTGTTCCTGCACACGTGCTCTCTTGGCCCTTCTCTCCTGCACTCTCTTGGCCTCTCTTGGCCCCTCTCGTCTCTCTCCTCTCTGCTCTCTCCTCTCTTAGTTCCTCTCCTCTCTGTTTCTTTCTTATATTCTCTCTCTTTTCCCTTTGCCACCCCTTCACTCCAGTCTCTAGGGTGTTCCCCAATAAACCCTTCCCCTTACTCCGGTGTTCGGTGTGTTTTGCGATGGCTAACATTAATATATAACAATAGTTCTGTAGAGTGTGATGCAGATTTGGTATAGACAGCTGTATATTCTTGGCACAGAACTTTTTTTTTTTTTTTGTTTTTTGACAGGCAGAGTGGACAGTGAGAGAGAGACAGAGAGAGAAAGGTGTTCCTTTTGCCGTTGGTTCACCCTCCAAAGGCCGCCACGGCTGGCGCACCGTGCTGATCCGAAGCCAGGAGCCAGGTGCTTCTCCTGGTCTCCCATGGGGTGCAGGGCTAAGCACTTGGGCCATCCTCTACTGCCTTCCCGGGCCACAGCAGAGAGCTGGCCTGCAAAAGGGGCAACCGGGACAGAATCCGGCGCCCGACGGGGACTAGAACCCGGTGTGCTGGCGCCGCAGGTGGAGGATTAGCCTAGTGAGCTGCGACGCCGGCCAACAACCAGAGAACTTTTAAAAAGAATACTTAGGAACAGTTTTTGGAAGAGCAGTCTTTTCAAAAGTTTAACATGGGAAAAAATGTGTTTGTTAGAAAAAGAGCATGTATTTTTGACTTATAGATAGGTTTAAATCACAGTTCTGCCACTTAGTAGTTTTGTGGCACTGGGCAAATTACTTTATCTCACTGACTGTCAGTTTCCTCAGCTCTCAAATACTGACCTGAAGAAATGAGATAATGTGTGTAAACAGTAGCACACAGTGGGTACACAAAGAATGGTAATTAGCAAAATTCACTGTAGCAGAATTTCCAAGCTGTATGAATGTGGCTGCTCTTGCCGTGCCCTAAGGCTTAGTGATTCTCTAGCTGCTGCTTCTAGAAGAGAAGGGAGAAATAGCTAGAAGTATGGAAATCAATGGTTGTCATATTCTTTTCTTTGATGTAAATATTGCCTAAGAGTTCCTTGCATTTCATAGGTGCTTTATATCTTAACCAGATTTCACCCCCCACATTCAAATTCTGTGGTGGTAGATACTTTAATCGGCTGTTCCTTCTCGAAACTTAATAAGTACAAAATGGTAATGTTCAAGGAATCATTTACTAAGAAACGGCTTAGAACTTGTCTGTTAGTTGATTTATTGACAACCTATGTGCTGAATTCACTGGAACGTGGCTGCTGCCACCCCTGCTGGTACAGGAAACACTTGGCAGCTTTAAAGTGCTATTCGTTGCAGTTACTTGGTATAATTTACCATAGAAGTGAATCCCTGGAGGTAATATTCTTGCTAAGGTGTGCATGTTTCTGGCTGAAGGAGTTCATGCTGAGGACCAGTGCTCTCTAACCCAAGGTGATTGTCTTGGCAGCCGGGAAGATTTCCAGAGGATTCCAGAACTTGCCATCAACCCACTGGGGGATCGGATCATCAATGCCTTCTTTCCAGAGGGGTGAGTCAGTGCAGTGGTTGGACTTCCTTGTAGTGGCTATCTCAGCATATGTTAATTCCTAATCTGGAATAATGATGTGGATTGGGGGCTGGCCTGTGGCGTAGCGGGTAAAGCCACTGCCTGTAGTGCCGGCATCCCATATGGGCGCCCGTTCAGGTCCAGGCTGCTCCACTTCTGATCCAGCTCTCTGCTACGGCCTGGGAAAACAGCAGAAGATGCCCCAAGTCCTTGGGCCCCTGCACCTGCTTGAGAGACCTGGAAAGCTCCTGGCTCTTGCCTTCAGAGCGGCATAGCTCCTACTTTTGTGGCCAATTGGGGAGTGAACCAGAGGATGAAAGACCTCTCTCTTTCTTTCTCTCTCCTTCTCTCTGTGTAACTCTGCCTTTCAAATAAATAAATCTTTTAAAAAAATGATGTAGATTGGTTCATCTCAGACCGGGGTCTCCCCAGTTATATTGAGCAGTCCTGATTTTGTCAAATATAAAATGTCTCTTCTATCCTGTCCTCCCTGTCTTAAACTTGAAGTAGATAAGGAGACCATATCTTAAATTCTGTTTTTGATTTTTTTTTTTAGATTTATTTATTTGAAAGACAGAGTTTAAAGGGGCAAAGGGGAGAGAGTGAGCTTCAAATTACTGGTTCACCCCAAATGGCCACAACTGCCAGGGCTGGGCCAGGCTGAAGCCAGGAGCCTGGAACTCCATCCTGCTGTTACAGGAAACACTCCCACATGAGTGGCAGGGCCCAACTGCTTGGGCCATCATCCACTGCTTTGCCTAGGTCATTAGCGGGGAGCTGAATCGGAAGTGGAACAGTCACATCTTGAACTGGTGCACACATGGGAGTCTTCTGTCACAGGTGCACCTTAACCCACTACACCACAACACTGCCCTCTATTTTTATATTCTTGACATTTTGTCTCATTTGTGTGCACTGTCTCTTGCAGTAGTAACCAATAAAAATGTAATGCATGTCATGTATGTAATTATACATGTAGAATGGCCACATGAAAAACCTAGATAAAGAAGTTAAATTAACTTTGGCAATATTTCTTTTATTTAATCTAAAATATTATCATTTTAATACTTAATATTAAAAACTACTGAGATAATTTATATTATTTTTTAATAGTCCTTGCAGGGTTGTTTTTTTTTTTTTTAAGATTTATTTTATTTGAAAGGCAGAGTTAGAGAGAGAGAGAGAGAGAACGCACGTGCTTCCATCCACTGGTTCACTCTCCAGATGGCTGTAACAACCAGGGCTGGGCCAGACCAAAGCCAGGCACCAGGAGCTTCTTCTATTCTGGGTCTCCCTGGTAGGTACAGGGTGAGCCCAAGGACTTGGGCCATCTTCTGCTGCTTTCCCAGGCACACTAGCAGGAAGCTGGATCAGAAGTGGAGCAACCTGGACTTGAACCCATATAGTAGGATGTCAGCATCACAGGTGATGGCTTAAACTGCTACACTACAACGCCAGCCCCTGTGTTCTTTTTTTGTATTAAGTCTTTGCAATCTAGTGTGTAATTTACACTTAGAGCATGTATCAGACACACTAACCATGTTTCATGTGTGTTTAATGGCTGTGCACTGGGACAGCACAGCTAGTGACTTAAGCTCACTCTTTCTCCAAACTCAACCTTCTTCTGTTTCTGTTTTTTTTTTTTTTTTTGAAAGAGTTAGACAGAGAGAGAAAGAGAGGTCTTCCATCCACTGGTTCACTCATCAAATGGCTGCAACGGCCAGGAGCCAGGAGCTTCTTCTAGGTCTCCCACGCAGGTGCAGAGACCCAAGGACTGAGGCCGTTTTCTACTGCTTTCCCAGGCCATTGCAGAGAGCTAGATCAGAAATGGAGCAGCCAGGACCTGAACCAATGCCCATATGGGATGCTGGCACTGCAAGTGGCACTACCCATTACGCCACAGTACCAGCCCCCTCCTTCTACTTCTTACAATCTGACTCTTCTCTCTGGCTCACACTTGGTCTCTGTCCTCCACCTTCTTTCTCTCCCCCTGTCTGTGCACTCTGTTTCTCCCTTTCCTTCTTGCTCTCTGTATTCATATAACACACATAACCTCTCACATTTTGTCAAGTAAATTATTTAATTTTTATTTTAAAGACTTATTTTATTTATCTGAAATGTATGGTGATAGAAAAAGGAAGACAAGAGACCTTCCATCCACTGGTTCACTACCCAAATGACTACAACAACTAGGGCTGGGCCAGGCCAAAGCCAAGAACCCAGAACTCCATCCTGGTTTTCCACATGAATGTCAGGGGCCCAAGCACTTGAGCCATTTTTCCACTGCTTTCCCAGGCGAGTTAGCAGGGAGCTGGATCAGAAATAGAGCATCTAGGACTCAAACTGATCCTCTGAAATGGGATGCTGGAGTGGTAGGCAGTGGCTTAACCTGCTATGCCACAATGCTGGCCCTTTAAGTAGATTATTTCTTACTTTAGGTTTGTCTAATGTAAAACTAGACTTTTTATATGGTTTATTATGTAATGTACTGCCTTCATTGTAATGAGTAAATATTTAATGATTTGATCAGGTACCTTTCTGTGAATAAAGGTTATCAAATAGTCTTGTGAGTAATCACCCGAGCATCTCTTCCTGGTTCTGTGTCGATTTTCTGTATGACCCAAAGGATACAGAGGGTGTATGTGCCAGTTTTGTTTTTTTAAGATTTATTCTATTCACTTAAAAGGCAGAGTTAGAGAGGGAGAAAGAGATCTTCCATCTACTGGTTCACTTCCCAAATGGCCCCAATGGACAGAGCAGGGCCAGGCCCAAGCCAGGAACCAGGAGCTTCTTCCAGGTCTCTCATGTGAGTGCAGGGTCCCAAGGACTTGGGCCATCTTTTTGCTGCTTTCCCAGGTGCATTAGCAGGGAGCTTGATTGGAAGTGAAGCAGCCTGGACTCAAACTTGTGCCTATAAAGGATGTCAGCATTACAGGCAGTGGCTTATCCTGGTATACCTCAGAGCCAGTCCTGACTATTTATTTATTTATATTTTTTGACAGGCAGAGTGGACAGTGAGAGAGAGACAGAGAGAAAGGTCTTCCTTTTCCGTTGGTTCACCCTCCAATGGCCGCCCTGGCTGGCGCGCTGCGGCCGGCGCACCGCGCTGATCCAATGGCAGGAGCCAGGTACTTCTCCTGGTCTCCCATGGGGTGCAGGGCCCAAGCACTTGGGCCATCCTCCACTACCCTCCCTAGCCACAGCAGAGAGCTGGCCTGCAAGAGGGGCAACCGGGACAGAATCCGGCGCCCCGACCGGGACTAGAACCCGGTGTGCCGGCGCCGCAAGGCGGAGGATTAGCCTAGTGAGCCGCGGCGCCAGCTGACAGTTTATTTAAAGACAATAAACAAGGGATGATGGTTGTAGGGTAGCAGGTTAAGCCACTGCTTAGGAACACCTGTATTCCTTATGGGATTCCTTGATTCAAGTACTAGTTACTCTGCACTTCAACTCCAGCTTCCTGCTAATATGCCTGGAAGGCAATAAATGATGGCCTGAGTACTTGGGTTTCTGTTACTTATGTAGGAGACCTGCATAGAATTGCTGGCTCCTGGCTTTGCCCTGAGTCCTGGCTGTTGCAGGTATTTGGGTAGTGAACCAGTGAATGGAAGATCTCTCTCTTTCAAATACATAAATCTTCATTATTATTATTATTATTTTTTTTTTTTTTTGGACAGGCAGAGTTAGACAGTGAGTGAGAGAGAGAGACAGAGAGAAAGGTCTTCCTTCCATTGGTTCACTCCCCAAGTGGCTGCTACGGCTGGTGTGCTGCATCGATCCAAAGCCAGGAGCCAGGTGCTTCCTCCTGATCTCCCATGTGGGTGCAGGGCCCAAGCACTTGGGCCATCCTCCACTGCCTTCCCAGGCCACAGCAGAGAGCTGGACTGGAAGAGGAGCAACCGGGACAGATTCCGGCGCCCCAACTGGGTCTAGAACCCAGGGTGCTGGCACCATAGGTGGAGGATTAGCCAAGTGAGCCATGGCACTGGCCTAAATCTTTATTTAAAAAAAAAAAAAAAAAAGATTTATTTATTTATTTATTTGAAAGGCATAGTATCAGAGAGAGAGATAGAGGTCTTCCATCTGCTAGTTTACTCCCCAGATGGCTGCAATGGCTGGAGCTGAGCCAACCCGAAACCAGCAGCTTCTTTTGGATCTCCCATGTAGGTGCAGGAGCTCAAGGACTTGGGCCATCTTCCACTTTCCCAGGTACACTAGCAGGGAGCTGAATTAGAAGTAGAGCATACAGGACTTGAACTGGGGCTCATATGAGTTGCACAGGCCGCAGGCGGAGGCTTAATCTACTACACCACAGTGCCAGCTCCCTCAAACATATAAATCTGAAAGAAAGAAAGAAAGAAAGAAAGAAAGAAAGAAAGAAAGAAAGAAAGAAAGAAAGAAAGAAAGAGTAATCAAATCAGCCTTATTTTTTTCTATCTCTTCTTAATTTTTTTTTTGCCTTTTTGAAGATTTATTTATTTGAAAGGTAGAGATACAGAGAGAAGATGGCCATGATGGCTGGAGTTGGGTCATTCTGAAGCCAGGAGCCAGGAGCTTCATCTTGGTCTTCCACATGGGTGGCAGGGGCCCAAACACTTGGTCCATCTTCGACTGCTTTTCCCAGGCCATTAACAGGCAGCTGGATCAGAAGTCGAGCCACCAGGATATGAACTGGCACCAATATGGGATGCCAGCTTCACAGGCAGTGGCTTTACTTGCTATGCCACAATGCCAGCTGAGACTTACTTTTTTTTTTTTTTTTTTTTTAATTTATTTGAGGCAGAGTTACAGAGATAGAAAGTGAGATCTTTCATAAGCTAGTTCACTTCCCTAATGGCCGCAATGGCAGTAGTCAAGCCAATCTGAAGCCAGGAGCTTCTACCAGGTCTCCCACATGGGTGCAGGGGCCCAAGAACTTGGGCCATTTTCCGCTGCTTTCCCAGGCCACTATCAGGGAGCTGGATTAGAGGTGGAGCAGCCAGGACTTGAACCAGTGCTTGTATGGGATATGGACACCACAGGCAGAGGCTAAATCTACTATGCCACAGTACCAACCCCAAGACTTTAAATGTTTGAGTTGACCATGAGTAATCTCATGCCCTCCATTTTTCTGTGTCTTTGAACTGTCCTTTTGTTTCAGGTGCGGTTTTATGGTGAATTCTTCCATGTTTTTCCTCTGTTCTAGCCCCTACCAAAGCATTGAACCATATCCAGACATATCTTTCATAGCCATGCTTTGAAATCCAAACAACAGAGCCTTTGAACTCTACCTTTAGAAGGTCTCTGAACTGTGTGTCTATCGGGCACTTAAAAGAGAACCTACATACTTCATCTACTCACTGGGGCACACAATGAATGGGATTCTTTATATATACCCACAAGAACAAGATCACCTGCTGTTTCCATGACTACCTTAGAGAGACAAATAATTATGTCACATGGCACATTCTTTTTTAACATTAAAAGATTATTCTTGGGGGTCGGCGCTGTAGCCCAGTGGGTTAAACCCCTGGCCTGAAGTGCTGGCATCCCATATGGGCGCCGGTTCTAGTCCTGGCTGCTCCTCTTCTGATGCAGCTCTCTGCTATGGCCTGGCAAAGCAGTGGAAGATGGTCCAATTCCTTGGACCCCTGCTCCCATGTGGGAGACCTGGCAGAAGCTCCTGGCTCCTAGCTTTGAATCGGTACAGCTCCGGCCGTTGCAGCCATCTGGGGAATTAACCAGCAGATGGAAGACCTCTCTCTCTGTCTCTACCTCTCTTTGTAACTCTGTCCTTCAAGTAAATAAAATAAATCTTCCAAAACAAACAAAAAAATTATTCTTAAAAGTTTTACAAAGTTTTTTTTTTTTTTTTTTTTTTTGACAGGCAGAGTTAGATAGAGAGAGAGACAGAGAGAAAGGTCTTCCTTTTTCCGTTGGTTTACCCCCGAAGTGGCTGCTAAGGCCAGTGCACTGCACCAATCCAAAGCCAGGAGCCAGATGCTTCCTCCTGATCTCCCATGCGGGTGCAAGGCCCAATCACTTGGGCCATCTTCCACTGCCTTCCCAGGCCACAGCAGAGAGCTGGACAGGAAGAGGAGCAACTGGGACAAAACCAGCGCCCCAACCAGGACTAGAACCTGGGGTGCTGGCGCCGCAGGCGAAGGATTAGCCTAGTGAGCCATGGTGCTGGCCTACAAAGTATTTCTTATGATTACCTGTTCATGATGTACAAATATTTAATCTTTAATACTAAAAAAGCTTTATATACAAAGAGAACAATGAGGAAAAAATGATGACTTAAGATATGTTATATCATGATATATCCCCTTGATTATTTTGTAGACATTTAATGTATATTGAAGTATTTATGCTGATTGGAAAAATGCTTAAAAAGCAGCATACAAAATTACATTTAGAGGTATTTGGGGACTAAACTAGTGGATGAAAGATCTCTCAGTTATCCAAAAAGCATAGAAAAATTACTGAAAGTCATATATTCATATTAATTTGGTGAAGTAGGATTGTTTTTTTTCTGTCTACTCTTTACCCCCAAAATTTCGAAAATATGTTCAGTTGCTTTGGTAACTAAATAACTTAATTTTAAATGAGCTTTTCCATAATACTCCTAACTTTAAAATATACCTAGGTAGGGGCCAGCACTGTGGCATAACAGTTAAAGCTGCCGCCTGTAGTGCCAGCATCTGATATAGGCACTGGTTCAAGGGCAGGCTGTTCCACTTCCACTCCTGCACCCTGCTAATGCACCTGGGAAAGCATTGGAGGATGGCCGAAACCCTTGGGCCCCTGCACCCATGTGGGAGACCTGGAAGAAGCTCTAGACTCCTGGCTTTAGATTGGTCCAGCTTTGGCTGTTTCGGCCACTTGTGGAGTGAACCAGCTGTTGGAAGACCTCTCTTTCTCTGCCTCTGCCTATGTAACTCCACCTTTCAAATAAGTAAATATTAAAAAATATATATGTATATAAATATGTATGTGTATATATACATATAGTGTGTATATACATGTATATGTATATGTACACATACATATGTATGTGTATATATACATGTGTGTATGTGTGTGTGTGTATATACAAGTAGGGTCAGCATTATGGCATAGTGGGTATAGCTGATGCCTATGACGCCAGCATTCCATACAGGTTTTAGTTTATGTCCTGGCCACTCTACTTCCAATTCAGCTCCCTGCTAATGGCCTGCCTGGGAAAAAGGTGAAGATGACCCAAGTGCTTGGGCTCCTGCCACCCATGTGCAAGACCTGGGTGAAACTCCTGACTCCTGGCTTGTAGCCATCTGGGGAGTGAACCAGCAGATGGAAAATCTCTTTGTCTCACCCTCTCTCTATTACTCTGACTTGCAAAATAAATAAATAAATCTTTAGGAAAAAAAAATACAATATACCTAGTTATACATTATTGCAAGGATCCATGGAAGTGTTAGAGAAGTGAATTCAAGTCCTAACTCTCCTCACTGCATGGCCCTGGACACCACTCTAAATCCTCTTTTGAGGGGCTGGTGCCGTGGCGTAGTGGGCTAAGGCTCTGTCTGCGATGCTGGCAACCCATATGGGTGCCGGTTCGAGTTTTGGCTGTTCCTCTTCCAATCCAGCTCTCTGCTATGGCCAGGGAAAGCAGTAAAAGATGGCCTAAGTGCTTGGGCCCCTGCACCCATGTGGGAGACCCTGAAGAAGCTCCTGGATCCTGGCTTTGGATCGGCGCAGCTCTGTGGCCATCTAGGGGGCAAATCAGTGGATGGAAGACCTTTCTCTCTATCTCTCCCTCTGTCTGTATGTAACTCTGCCTCTCAAATAAATCAAAAAAAAAATAATAATAATAAATAAATCCACTTTTGAGACGAGAGAGAAGAGTAAATTCAGTAGGCAATTCTGACCTTTGTAAGTCATGTTACCTCTAAGTCTGTTTAACCATTTATAAAATGGAAATAATAATAGCTCCTCACAGGGTTTGAGTGAGGCTTGAGTGAAGATACTTTATGAACTGTAGTACCATGCATATGGAAAGAGATCTTATTAAATGAACTTTCAGTGTACTGTACCTGAAGACGTTGCCATTATACAGAATTCATAAGAAATAACCATCCTGATTAACATGGTGTTCTACTTGTTACATTCTCCAGAGAGGACCAGGTAAACTTCCGTGGATTCATGAGAACATTGGCGCATTTCCGACCCATTGAGGACAATGAAAAGAGCAAAGACGTGAATGGACCAGAGCCACTCAACAGCCGGAGCAACAAACTGCACTGTAAGGAGTTGAAGTCTTCTGGCTTAAAATATCTATTACTTCTTCTTTTTTTTTTTTTTTTTTTTTTGTTGTTGACAGGCAGAGTGGACAGTGAGAGAGAGAGAGAGAGAGAAAGATCTTCCTTTACCGTTGGTTCACCCTCCAATGGCCGCCATAGCCGGCACGCTGCGGCTGGCGCACCGTGCTGATCCAAAGCCAGGAGCCAGGTGCTTCTCCTGGTCTCCCATGGGATGCAGGGCCCAAGTACTTGGGCCATCTCCACCGCACTCCCAGGCCACAGCAGAGAGCTGGCCTGGAAGAGGGGCAACCGGGACAGAATCCGGTGCCCTGACCTGGACTAGAACCCGGTGTGCCGGCGCCGCAAGGCGGAGGATTAGTCTATTGAGCCGCGGTGCTGGCCTCTATTACTTTTTTTTTTTTTTTTTGACAGGCAGAGTGGACAGTGAGAGAGAGAGACAGAGAGAAAGGTCTTCCTTTGCCGTTGGTTCACTCTCCAATGGCCGCCGCGGCCGGCGTGCTGCGGCCGGCGCACCGCGCTGATCCAATGGCAGGAGCCAGGAGCCAGGTGCTTTTCCTGGTCTCCCATGGGGTACAGGGCCCAAGCACCTGGGCCATCCTCCACTGCACTCCCTGGCCACAGCAGAGGGCTGGCCTGGAAGAGGGGCAACCGGGACAGAATCCGGCGCCCCGACCGGGACTAGAACCTGGTGTGCCAGCTCCGCTAGGCGGAGGATTAGCCTAGTGAGCCGCGGCGCCGGCTCTATTACTTCTTACAAGCCATTTATTTACTTACTTATTCATTAAATGAGCATTCATAAGTTGATCATAATGATTAAGAGCTCAGACCCTAAAGCTGAACTAGCTGAATTTTTGTTTTTAAGATTTGTTTATTTATTTGAAAGGCAGAGAGGGAGGGAGAGACAGACAGAGAGAGGTCTTCTCTGTACTGGCTCTCTTCCCAAATGTCTGTAACAGCCAGGGCTGGGCCAGGCTGAAGCCAATAACTTCATCCAGGTCTCCCACATGGGTAGCAGGGGTTCAAACACTTGGGCATCTTTGGCTGCTTTTCCCAGACCATTAGCAGGGAGCTGAATTGGAAGTTGAGCAGCTAGAACTTGAACTTGCCCATGTGGGATGCCCTTGTTTCAGGCAGTGGCTTACCCCACTGTGCCACAATGCTGGCCCCTGATCAGCTGAATTTGAATCCCAGCTCTACCACCTTTTGGCTTTTTGATATTCTTTTCTTTCTTTAAAACACACACACACACACACACACACACACACACACATACACATACACATACACATATAAGTGTACTTATACATATATATATATGTATATGTATTTTTTTTTTATTTGAAAGGCAGAGAGAAAGAGAGATGGAGAAAGATCTTCTACATGGTGGTTCATTCCCTAATTGCCCACAATTCTGGGCCAAACTGAAGCCAGGAGCTGGGAAACTCAAATAGGGTCTCCAGTATGGGTAACAGGGACCCAAGTACTTGAACTGTCATCTGCTGCTTACCAGTGTGTACATTTGTAGGGAGCTGGAATGGGGCATGCTGATAAGCAATGTGGGCTTACCAAGTGGTGTCTTAACCACTACCCCAAACACCTGCTCCAGCCATGTGACTTTGAATAAATTTCTTAGGATCTCTGGGGTTCAGTTTCCTCTTCTGTAAAGTTGAGGGGTTTCATATCAGGTGTGGATTAAGTTTAATATGTGCAAAGTTCTTCAAACAGTGCCTGGCACATACTAGGTATTTAGTAATTAGTACCTGCTATTATTATGATTGTAATCCATTGAACACCAACCGTGTGGTAAGTGCTAGATTGACAATAGTGAATGAGACCTGGGCCCTACTCCAGGGGATAATGGTGATTCTCAACCCATCTTAGGATTTGATAGATACCAGATAAAATGTAAATAGGAACAGGTGGCTGGATTAGTTAGTGCTGCACGTGACTTTGTTTCCCTTGCCTCTTGCCTCCTGTCCTTGTATACCTGATGGATTTCCTGCTGCCTGTTTTGCTTCATTGTGATATTATCCAATCTTTTCTTTTCTTTTTTTTTTTTTTTTTGATTGTTTGGTGATTTTATCTTTAATTGTGTGATTTAAAGTGAGCAACATGCTGTGCTGATATTCACATACATGGTGCAGTATTTACTGCAGCCAAGCAGGTCAGCATACCCATGCTCTCCCATGGTTACCTTTTATTGTGTTAAAAATAAATAAATAAATAAAACCTCAGTCTACTCTTAGCAAACTCACAGCGTGCAGTACAAAGTCAGTAACTCTTGTATGTACGCTGCCCATTAGCCCTCTAAACTTACTCAGACTATATAACTGTAACTCTGGGCCTAAATTTTATGTTTTTTTTTTCTTCATATTATCCAATCTTATACAACACTTTTCTAGGAAATTGAAATTGAATTTCTCTCTCATTCAGCACAACTTGAAGTTGAAATTATTAAACTGAATGAACCCAAGCTTCTCTTACTAGGGTGCACAGTGGTATAGAGAGAGGTTTCTGAGGACAGAATAAGTGGGACCTATCACATTTTACTTGATGACTTAAGGAAAAAGAAAAGGCTCTTAATATTATAACTGACATGAATTATAGACTATAATGCCAAATTTACATATATTTGAGATGTTATTGTGGTCTTTGGCTATCTCCCTTGGACTCCCAGGCTTCAGCAGTTTTTTTTTTTTTTCCTTAATTTTTAAAGGTTTATTTATTTATTTGAAAGGCAAAGGCAGAGAGAGAGAGAGAGAGGTCTTCCATCCTCTGGTTCTCTCCTCAAATGGCTGCAATAGCCAGATCTGGGCTGATCTGAAGCCAGGAGCCACAAGCTTCTTCTGAGTTTCCCATGTGGAATCAAGGGCCTAAGAACTTGGGCCATTGGCCATTATGGCCCTTTAGGGAGTGAACCAGTGGATGGAAGACGTTTTTTTCCATCTCTCTCTCTCTGTAACTCTCTCTCAAGTAATAACTAAAATCTTAAGAAGAAAAAAGTCAACTATAGTGTAGAAGTATAGAAAAGGATAGTTGGTCTAACATTTTACCTTAAAATATTTTAAAGCCTATTATTTGCCAATCTCTTGATGTAGAGGCAATGGTTGTTTTGTTTTTACATATTTATTTATTTGAAAAGCAATTTTACAGAGAGAATGACCAGTGCTGGATCAGATAAAAGCCAGGAGCCCAGAGTCCACATGGGTGGTCGGGGCTCAGGCACTTGGGTTATCATCCACTGCTTTCCCAGGTTCATTACTAGGGAGTTGGATGAGAATTGTAGCCACCAGGACTGGAACCAGCAGTGACATGGGTTGCTGGTGTCACCAGTCGTGACTTAAGTTGCTTTGCCACAACGCTGGCCTCTTGTTTGGTAATGCTGTAGTGTATAGGTGTGCTGATGGGAGTTGTATGACCACTTTTGTATAGAGCACATCTATAATGTATGGTTTAAGGTTTCTAGTTACATTTTGTTTGTAATTGTGAAGAGAACTTAGATACTCAGAGCATTCTGAGGAGCTGGCGCTGTGGTGTAGGTTAAGCCACCACCTGTGATTGCAGCATCCTATGTGGGCACCTTTTCAATCTCTGGATGCCCCACTTCCAATCCATCTCCTTGCTAATGTACTTGTGAAATCAGCACTTGTGAAATCAGCAGAAGGTGGCCCAAATACTTGGTTCCCCACCTCTATGTGTGAGACCCAGATGAAGCTCCAGGCTCCTGACTTCAGCCTGGCCCGGCCAGTTACTTTGACTTTCAAATAAATAAATCTTTAAAAAATATATATGTATATACTCAAAGCATTTTGAGAATTGAATCCTTCTAAGGGTTTACGTTTTTTCCCCCTATTATAATCTTTTTATTTTTTTATTTGAAAGTCTAAGTTACACAGAGAGAGGAAGAGATAGATTGATTTTTCCATTCACTGGTTCACTCTCCTGGTAGCCAGGGCTAGGCCAGGCTGAAGCCAGGAGCTTCTTCCGGATCTCCCAGGTGAAAGTAAGGGCCCAAGCACTGGGACCATCTTCTGCTTTCCCAGGTGCATTAGCAGGGAGCTAAGTCAGAACTGGAGCAGCCAGAACTTGACTGGCACCTATATGGGATGCTTTAAAAGATTTATTTGAAAGTCAGAGTTACACAGAGAGAGGAGAGGCAGAGAGAGAGGTCTTCCATCTGTTGGTTTACTCCCCAAATGACCAAAATGGTTGGAGCTGCGCCAAAATCAAGTCAGGAGCCAGGAGCTGCTTCCAGGTCTCCCACGTGGGTGCAGGCGCCCAAGGACTTGGGCCATCTTCTACTGCTTTCCCAGGCCATACCAGAGTGCTGGATCAGAAGTGGAACAGCCAGGTCTCGAATAGCGTCCATATGGGATACTGGTATTGCAGGCAGTGGCTTTACCCACTAAGCTACAGCGCCAGCCCTGCCACAGTTAACTTTTACAAGTTTTTTTCCATTGACTTAATTTTGAGTCTTTCGAAAGCAGTCAATTTTCATAGGAACAATAATTTTGTTTTTCATGTTAATGGTTCATTTTTAATCAAATTGTATAGTTTTATTAAGAGTTTAAATAAAACAGTTTTAGCACAGCTGAGACAACTGACTTGATAAGCCTTCAACTCGACAGGTGGTATGGATACTCAGAATTAGCCAATTGTATTGAAATTCAGTAAATAAAAGCAATTAAAACAACTTTGATACAGTGCTAGTTGTGCTTCCTTTTTGTAATTAAGTGGTAGAATGTAGCAATGAGCCAGAGAATTCTGATAGTTGAAACAGTGATGAATACAAATGATAAACTGAGATTTTTGCACCACCTGTTGGTGTCAGGTCTCAGGGACTGCTGTTACTGCTGTGGTTTGTTGCCAGTCTTGTTAAATAGAAGGAAATTCCAAATTGCAGTAGAGACTGTAAGAAGAAAGACTGCTGTCCCCTTCCACATTCACAGACTCCGTTGTCCTGTGGACCCTAGGTACAGAA